CTTGAATATCACACAAATGCTGAGACTCTGGTTCCTCTATCGCTGTGAGTAAGAAACCCCTTTGTCTCTGACATGGGCCTCATGTCTTCTGCCAGCACCCTGGAAACTGGAAGGCCGCCTTGTAAGCTGGCAAGTAGGGGAGAACCTCAGAGGCTTTGTGGTTGTGGACAATATGTTGTCAGTTCATTCTGGAGGCCTTGAAATATCCCTGGCTCAGGTAGACTATATGAATGGAATTTTTTTTTTACAAATGGCAATGATTAACATTCCACAACATCCATAACACTGTTCTATCACAGAGGAGCCTTTATTGTTACCTAGTACCTTCAAAGCCTCCTTAGTCCCTAAGGAAAAGGAGAAAAATGGTGGCCTGTGCACCCACACACGGCCTCACGCTCTCCCGTCTGCCAATAAACAGATGTTTCCCTGATTTATTCTGGGCTGGCCAAGAGAGATGGTTCCATGCCACAGTTTTAGTATCAGAACAAGGTGATCCTTGGCAACCCTGGTAGCCGAGCTCTATGGGAAGAAATTCTTCTCATTAACACAAAAGAGCTCATCTCAGCGTTATCCCAGCCAACTTCTCAGTAGTCCTGGGTAAAGATGGACAACAGCTGGCCATCTACCCCAAGATTCTCTCTACCATGCAGTTTTTCTAGGTTCTCTTTATATTTCTCAAATTTAATAATCCAAAGTCTTTATCTTTTTTGTGTTACCTTTTATTTCTGAAGCAGTTTCAAGCACGACTTGCAAGAATAGAGCAAAGAAGTCTTCATATACTCTTCAGCAAAGGCCCCATTCAAGTAAGTATTGCCAAAAGTGTGAATCATAAGGTCTTTACACAGACAGATCCAGTCCAGGATCACACGTGGCACCCAGCTCTCATGTCCCTTGAGCCTCTTCACAGTGGGACAGCTCCCCTCCTGCCTTGGCTCTCATTACCTTGACATTTCTGAAAACCACAGACCGGCCCCCCAGTTTGTTCCTCTAATGTTTCTTCCTCATTGGGCCAGGCCATGCATCTTTGGTCAGAATGTCACAGAAGTGATGCTGCGTTCTTTTTGCATCTTATCAAGGTGACACGCAATGTAAATTTGTCCCATTATTGATGGTGTTAATGTTGATACCTATAATCATTTTCCCCTCTGCAACCAATGCACTTGTGAGATCCTTTGAAACCGTGCAGTCATGTTCTTCATCCCATTTGCACCCACTACGGTAGCATTCAGTCATGATCCCTACCTGATGGTTCCCTGGCTGCCAAGGAGTGATTCTCTGGTTGGATCATTTCTTCTACATTTATTAGATGGCATTCTACTTTAAGGAAGAGCTTCCTTTTCTCCCTCCTTTATTTGTTCTTATATTGGTTTCAGCTTGTGGATTCCTGTTTTATTTAACAGGCTACAATGCATTTGGATCCTTATTTATTTTGATGCTCAAATAGTCCCGGATTTGGCTAGTAGAGGCTCCTTCAAGGTAGCTTTTGAGTCCTTTTATGTGGCCACATTATTCTTTGAGCGCTTTCCTACTTTCTGGCACAAGAAGTTGTTCTCTTTCCCTGTCCCAGCCCTGGAGTGAGCCATTCCTCTAAGGAGCCCTGGTTCCCTTTAGTGGAGAGTATTTAGAAACCAAGAGCTGAGTGGTAGGTGTGCTCACTACCTAACAAGTGAACAGAGCTAGGAAAAACTGGGGGCGTGTGTGTATCGTGTGTGTGCGCTTACACAGTACATCAGTAACTCTCTATTGCTATGTCTATACATGGAACCGCGCGTTCACACAGATGCTCCCAACGCCAGCCAACACCACAGGTTTGATTCTGGCTCTCCTCCTCTCTGAATGTGCCTCCGCCTCCTACAGTGAGAGGCCTCGTCCTGCCTCTCACAGCATGTCTGCTGCTTTGCTCCACTCCTCTGTCTGTCTCAGTCACCCGCCCCATCCTCATACAGGCAGACCCTGGCCATGCTCGCCCTCCTCACTCTCAAAGAGGGAAGGAAAGAGCTGCCCATTTTAATAACCATGTTTACTGACGGGCATTCTGGGATAGCCTCGTATTGCTCACTGCTCTGAGATTGCTTGCCAAGTTACAGATAAAAGTCTCCAAGGAGACCAGGATGCTGTGCACTGTGCAGCAATGGAGTTAGCTTAAGTGGTTTTGCCACAATTCACGGTGAGGCGGGCAGGCAGGCTGCTGACCTCTGGAGTCCAGCGGGAGTCTTCCATGTGCAAACACACCCCAGGGACCCTCTCAGAAAGCAGATTCTGATCCAGGAGGTGTGGGCAGGACCGGAGACTGCTGGCCAACCAGCTCCCCGCGACGCCGCTGCTGCCAGTCCGCGGAGACACTGTGAGGAGCACAGGCCCAGGGCCTGTGGACACATGGTGAGATCTTCATGTCCTTTCAGCACACCACACCTCTCCAGTGTCTCTCTTCCCTGGGCGGTCATGGACCCCTTGCTGGCTCTTCCACACCCTGTCACATTGTCTACCCTCTCTTCTGTATCTTCTCTCATTAATTCTAAATCAGCGGATGGAAGTGGGCTTGGAACAGAAAAGGCCCTGGCTAGTATGGGATAGAGTTGAAGGATTCATTATTTGATGGATGCTCTTGGGTCTTGACCGATGAATGCATTCCAGGAGTTTGTAAGATTTGGGAGCTAGATAAACACGTTATTTCACAGCGGTGGAGAGTTGAGCAGAGACCACAAGAAGAGGAGCCTTCACCCTGCCTAGTTGAGACAAGGCTGGCTTGTCTGGGAGGCAAATGAGAGTGCCGATCGACACCAATATGTTTCTCAAACACACAATTGATCGACTTCCAGTGCAAGTGCTGTCAAAGGAAGTTGTTCCAGTGCCTAGCACTGCAGTAACCATAATGGTTAACAAGTCACACAGTTTTTCCTGAGCTGTGCTTGGCCAGCTCCTCCTTAATATCACGTTGCTTAGAAGTTCAGGGACTATTTACTATTTACAGTGGAGAAATCCTAATAGAAAATGTACTAAAACGCTGCACTTCATATGAGCTTTTTGGGAAAAGAGGGAACAGTACTCTACCACAAAGTCCTGGAATTTAATTATAACATCTTGCCAAATGGGGCTTCAGGAAATACTTGTTGCATGAGAAAAATATGCATCTGGTGTGGACTGAATTGTGCGCCTCTTCCCACAAATTCACATGCTGAAGCCTTGACTCCTAATGTGACTCTATTTGGAGACAGGACTTTTAGGAGGTAATTATGGTTTAAATGAGGTCGTAAGGGTGAGGTCCTACTCCGAAAGGACTGGTGTGCTTGTGAGCAGAAGGGGCACCAGGAGTGTGTGCACACGGAGAAGAGAGCATGGGAGGACACAGGGAGACGGCAGCTGTCTGAGGCCCAGGAGAGAGGCCTCACCAGAAACCAACCGCGCCAGCACCTAACTCTTGAATCTACCCTCCGGAACAGTTAGAAAATAAAATTTCTGTTGTTAAGTCACTCAGTCTATGGTATTGTGTTAGGACAGCCCTGGCAGACTAACGGCACCAGAAATTATGAATGGCATAGCTCTCTGGTTTTTAATTGCTACAAGGGAACTTTTCATTCACTGTTTTTTCTCAGTCCCGCATTGTCTCTGCTCACAAAATCCCAATTCCAATTGATAAAGCCACTCCTTCCTATAGCGCCCTATCTACTGAATTAACATCCTTTCCACAAACCTCTGATCTGGCTCCCGATCTCAACCCTCCATCCGGAGTCCCTTTCCTCTGTGCTGGTGCCCCAGGCTCCAGGCTCGCAGCTGCTCTACCGACCCCACGTCCTCAGTCTGCATGGATGGCACAGGGGCGGCTGTGCAACTGACACGACGTCTTAGAAAGCAGGCTCAGGGTGGTCTTCTGTTCTGATGAGGAAAATCCTTCCTCCAGTTCCAAAGACCCTCGTGACAGCTCTAGACTCTGCTAGCCTTCGTCCTTAAGAGACACACGCTGCAATGAGGGGAGTGTTCTCGCCCCGAGGCTGGGGTTCCAGCAGCCCCTTCTCTGGGAGCCCCGCCTGGGAAATTAATTGCCATTCACATTCAGCGGGAGTGAGGCAGAGCCTCTAGATGGGCACTCAGTGAGAACACGGCTCAGTTCCTATGGTACATCGTCTTATTTTAAAATATTTACCTGAATATTGTATTATCAGGGTAAATGCTGTGTTACTCTAGGATATATGCTTGGTTTACCATTTAACGCATTTTCTATATATGTAACATTAAAAAGAGACTTGTCAACCAAAAGAACACAATTTTTAAAATGTGATTATCTTTACATGATTTTCCAAATTCCTCAGTCTGAAGGGGTTTGGGGAGAGAAGTGTAGAGAAGGGAGGGGTTGCACGTCCTTGGAGTCCCTCAGCCCCCTGGTGGAGCCTCAGGCCACCTGTCATTGAGATGGATCAACAGCACACTTGCGTCCGGGAGCCCCAGAGAAGTGGCTTGTGTCTTTCTGCAACCGTCCCAGGGCGGGTTCCCTCGCCAAGCCTCACGAGGGCAGACAGCATCTCAGGTGCTAGTGAGACGGAGGGAACCAGTGGTGCATTACAAGCCAGACAAAAGATTTCAGTTTATCTTTTCAAAAGAGAATTCTTGTAACCAAAAGCAACTACACACAAAATTTCCAGAATCACTTATTGTTGTCAACGTCTCTGTGTGGCAGAAAGTGATTTTTCAAAAATTCTTCAACGCACATTCACAGGGTGTTTACACTGGCAAGATGATAAAACGTAAATATACTTTAAAAGACTATTTAAAGATTAATTGAAATTCCTTTTCCTTGTGAGAGAATCAGTGCCCCAAACACGTCCTCCACTGCCCTTCCTCCTACGAAGGCACGAAGCAGGGATGGTCGTCACCCAGCGCGGACCGGCAGCTCTGTGCGGGACCATGTGGGATGTGCCCGCATCAGCTCCGAGATGGGACGTTTGCTTGCTGTGGGCCCACATTCTACATTCCAGAACAAAGATAAAATAAGACACCCATGCAAATACCATTAAAAGTTTATTGTTTTATTTCAATATTTGAGAACAGTGTATACTTCCCATGAGACCCAACATACAGCACTTGCTGTTGGGTGTAGCCACGGACAGAGGGCACTCAGTCAACAACCAGCTCGAAGATGCAGAGTGCGTGTGTGGAGCAAGGTGGAGGTTTCGTTTCCGAAATTGTGTGCCTTTTTGTTTTTTCACCCTCTCATCATTGAGGCTAGATATTAATAGACATTATAGGAAACCCACACTAAACATTCAGAATTAGAACGGGATTAAAGAGAAGCTTTTGGCCTATGTCTACTATTCCTGGTCTTTGTCCTAAGGGAGAATGATGCCAGCGTGGGGCTCTTTGGGACGCCTGTGACAGACAGGCTGAAATCAAAAGGCAGGACTCAGTATGTTAGAGGGGGAGCAGGGGAATGTCAGCTGGCGTTAGAAGAGACTGCGACTGGGAGGAGCTCTCTGCCCTCCTCGTGTGGGCGTCCAGGCCCTGCCATGCCCTGGGCGGGGGACCAGGGACGGGTATGTTCCTAAGCCTAGTCACTAAGCACGGCGTCTCTAGGAGCAAGCAGAGGGATGGTTATCTTTCCACTGGGGTTAGTATTTGCCGATGTGCACTGCCGTGATGAGCGTACCACTGGTCGCCTCCCCTCTCCACAGTGACCAGTGGGACATGCCGGGCTGCCCAGAAAACTCCCACAGTCCCGCTCTGAGATGCGCGAGTCGCCCTGAACTCTCCTCCGGGGCTCCGGTTAGGAAACAGGTCGTCTGTAGAGGCCGCTCTGGTTCCTGCTGCGCCGTCACCTAATTTCCAAGAAGACCCTGTTTCCTGTTTGAGGCCGTCGCCCAGCCCACGTGTGCCCCTTGTCCCCTCTCTGCCACGCACGAATTCAGCTCACTGGGGTGTGGTGAGCGCCCGCCTGGAGGCGCCCCCTCTCGCGCCCACCACATTGGACTCCTCACAGCTGCCCGCCCGCCTTTCACGTACCAAAAGCTCCCCACGGGTGTGAAGCCACTCCTGACTGCCCAATCCTGTTAGGAAAATAAAGTGAACTTTAGGAGGTGAGAGAAGGGCAGCAAAGAAACCAAAGGAAGCGCGGATCAACACAGTCCTCACCACCCTGCTCATGTCCCATCTCCACGGCAGTGTGTCTCCACGGCAGTGCCCGAAAAGCGGGGGATGCCAGGTCAGTGGCGCAAAGCAAGTCCAAGGATGGAGGGGCGAACGAACTTGGAGGGACGGCCGTGCGCCGGGCCGCACCAACTCCGCGGGGCGGCCGGGCACGAGGCAGTGGAATGAAACTCCGAGAACACTGTCTCTTCAAACGTAAAGGAAGAGTTTAACCATTTTCTATCTGCGTTTTCTCCGTTTAGCTGTTGGCCAGAAATTGCCAGTAGGATGCAGTGTGCCTGACCCTACTGTGTGCACAACTCAACAGGCATTAGCAAGAGGTCATTTGCTACAACTAGGTAATTTATGCGAACGGTATTAAAATCGTAAGGGTTATATTAAGAAGCTGAGGACGGGCTTCCGTAACAGGCTGTAGGGCTTCAGCGTCTAGCCATGGGCGATCCAGAACGACTATCTCTTCCTCCCTGAGGAAAGGAAACAGAGAGTTAGGTGAGCCTGGGGGCCATTCCCGTGCAGCCTCCCTTCCCCGCCAGGACCCTGTTTTGGCGGTAACCTGGTCTCAAACCATTTGGGGCGCTCTTTCACTTGGGCCTGTTGCTGGAAATGCTGCCACAAAAAGCTGATCTTTTTGTTCCACTTCTCACAATCTCCTTTAGCAAGTGCTAATTGAATTTTCAAGAACCGTAAGATAAATTCACTTGAATGTAATTCCCAGGACACAGAGAGCCGGTGCCTAGGGTAATAAGACTGCATGTCTGGGGCTGCAAGCTCGACTGCTATATTATCATGCTTTGAAGGCGTGCTTAATTTCTCTGGCTAGAGACTCCAGGGTAACTGAGGGAGCCCGTCTGTCAATGACAGGGACGACCTCATCCTTGGAGAGATCTCAGTATTGATGGACACGCCAATTGCTGCGTCCACCAGGACGGAGCCAGCTGCATGATGTGATGGCGGAGGGCAGGCCCCTCTCCTTGTTGGCCTCTCCACTGCCTTACCAAGACAAACCAACCTCATGATGGGCTGGGGGGCGGAGGTGGGGGGACGGCAGACTGACTCCCAGGGGTCTTACAACCAGGAACTGACATGTTTTCTGGACAAATACAATTTGAAATTTTAAAAAAAAGAGTTGGCAACCACTGAGATGGGCACAGTTGTGCAGTGACCAGCAGTGTGAAGGTGGCCTGGGCATGGGCATTGCTCTCTGAGAAGACAGTGGTCACTCCAGAAGTCATTTAGAGTGACACGGGAGAACACAGGAGAAATGCACTTTTTTTACATTCAAATTTCTCCTTCTCCTTGGGTTTGCCTTTTTTTCTTAGGTCATGAATGAAAAATGGATCTCTCAAGGGTTTCCTTTGGACTGAGAGCCCCAGAAAGCAAGATGTACAGGAAACTGCTCTCAGCCAGACGGCACACGGGCACAGCACTAACACCAACCAGGGTGCTGTCTACGTTTTCATTACCCAGTGGTATAACTCACCGAAGCTCGAAAGCCAAAAATGCCTTACAAATAACACGCTGACAGAGTGCGATGACCGTTCTGATTTCTTGGAGTTTTACTTTTTCCAGAAGAATCACAATGCTGTTAAACAACTCATTGAAGGAGCTTTATTTTCACAAGTGAAAATGTTTCTGGAATTCTATCCCGGAGAGCACCTTAGGAACCACGAGTGAAGTTGCCCTCCCAGGAAAGGGGCTTTGTCGTACGACTGCAGATGTCAGGGGGGGCAGCTCTGCCCGGGGCCAGCCCTCCCCTGGGGAACCCTAGTCTTCTCGTGGTGGAGGCTTGCTTAAATGACAGAACCGGCCTAGTGCCACCTCTGGAGTAACCCAGAGCAAGGCTGCACTCACCTCCCCTTTCTTTGAATTTCCAAGAGATGAACCTTTAGGGCTGCCTTTAAAGTGTGAAGTCCTGCAAAGTCGCAGAACCGCTGCTCTATGAAACAAAGTGCATGGTGCTGAACGGCTTATGTTCCCCACATCCTTTGCAAGACAACTTACGTGAGATACCATTTCAACTTCCTGACAGCTCCTTTTGAAATAAAAAATGGTGGACATACTGGTTTTATTTTCTATTACTGTATCAACAATTTATTGAGCACCTGCTGTGTGCAAAATCTGTTATATCTGTTTTCTCTTATGAAAGAGAAAGCCAACCTGGGAGGTCAGCATCATCGTCTCCATCTTAAGGTGAGGAGCCTGAGCTCAGAGAGGTTGAGTGAATTTCCCAGAGTCAGTCAGCTGGTCAAAGGGAGCCAGAATTAGCACCTCTGGTGCTTCAGTCTCACGCTCTTTACCACTTTTGAATCGTCTGATATAGAGCACGTGGTCTGCCCTGGGCAGGTAAACCAGTGAGGCTGGTCACCAGAAGGCTGGGGCAGGAGAAGGACAGAATCTACAGGAGAGTCATACATCCCCTCTCCATCCTTACCCTCACACTGTGCAGACGCACTACAGGCAGGGACTTGTTCCAGGTCACGTACTTGAAGAAAAGAAACTCCTGTTATATTCTGATGTAGCTCACAAATGATTGGGAGAGACGCAGTTTCCTCTACTTGGTTTCTAACCAACGACACCGGAATGCCAAGTCTGAGCCCTTTCCTTGATTTTCCACAGTGTACAAAGAGCAGGAAGAAAAGACAGGGAAAATGACCCTCCCCTAAAAGCTGGAAATGCCCACCATCTCCAGGCGCCTGCCTTCAGGTGCTTCTCATCTCTGGGGCGTTCTTGTAACCAATTTTAAGTGCTCTGTGTCAACTGGTTCAGCCACACGACCATAGTAGGCCAGCTGGTGAAATTTTTATGTAGCAAAATGTAATTAAAACCATGTTAATGGAAACTTGTTTTCATTTAATAAACTGAAGCTCCCTTTGAAATATAGAGGAATTTTAAAATTTCTGAACTACTGCTTACAAAAAGAACTTCAGGAAAATATTGCCCCTATTTAAGAAACAAATGGGTGTCATACACTTGTGTTCCTTGCACACAATGGATGTGCTTGATAGAAATGGCACTTTTCTAGTCATCAAGGCAGGCTTGACAAGCTCTGGCCTCCCAAACATCTCACAATAACCAGTTACAACTCTTGCCTACACTATGGAGGACCAGAATCATATTTCCTAAATGGAGCCCTGCCCCCACCAGCTGGCCCCTCCCATCACCTAGCAGTCGTCATTCCTTTGGTCGTGATGAGTGGTCATTACATGGGATGGCATAGCAATTAGTTACCCAGAACAGGATAAATCTGTATTTCGCAGACGAGAGGGAAATTGTGATAACTGCAGACATGGGGGTTCCACCCTGGGACAATCTGGTGCAGGAAGTCTTGTGGGGAGCCCAGAAATGGTCTGGGCATCACAGGCGATTCAGATGCAGGTGGCCTCCTGGCTAGGGTCTGGGGCCACTAGTGGAACACTGCTATTCTGAATGCAGGTCTGCGTTAGGACTCAGCTCCTACGGGACCCTCACCCTCACTGTCTTGTTGCCACATTTCAGAAGTGAGGCAAATATGTCAGGATGGCCTCCGTTACTTGAATGTTTGAGGCTGGATTTATTTCCTTACTTAGATTTGCCTAGAATTTACACTGATCCCGCCTACATTTTACCTGACATAAAACGAGTTAGTGACTCGGTGACTTACCACTCACGTCACACATTTAAGGCTTTTCCTAACAGGACTGACTTTTCTCTGAAGCAGAATCTTGCCTCATATTACCACGTGTGGTCCCAGCACCCACCAGAATGGACTCGTGGGTGGGGATGCCACACACGCATGCTCGCCGAGTCTGTCTGTGCCGCGCATCCCAACCGCCGGGCACACACACACGTGACTCAACATTGAATTAAAGATTAGGTGCCCAAATCAACGAGGATTTGGGTTACCGACCAAATTATTCCACCATAAACTGTGAAAGCTTGACGTTTTACTAAGCCAGTCAGGAAGCGGACTCACAGAGGTCAGAGATCGCCATCAGCGATGGCTGGTGGAGGAGCCCTGTCCTCTGCTGGCAGAGACTGGGCCCCATCATGGGTGACCTGGGGCTCGCGGGAAGCACAGGTCCTGCCTTGCAGCTTTGAGAGAGCCAACCCATGTACAGCAGAAGCTTTCAACGTACAACTGCCTACCGTGATCCCAATGGATGTTCTGAGAATGGGTTACACGAAGGCGATGCTCCTGTTCTCACCAACGACCAAGAACACCTAAGAACATGGAGGCCACGGAAACTCACGCCTTCCCCTAAATGTGACCGCTGGCCGGAAGACGCAAGGTGAAGACGCTATTACACGGAATACGAACCCAGGACGCGTTTGTCTACAACGCCTGGACACCAGCCCATGAACCAGACGGCACAGGACGCTCGATGTCGTCTGGGAACTAAGCACAGATTAAAGTCTCCTCTTATCTGCACAATCACATCTTTCCTGCATAGGCAGAGAATATTCCACAGGAATGCTAATCTTTCACCCAAGAAAGATAAACATGAAACCCTTCAGGCTTCTTCTCTCGACAGGGTGCCGTGCGCATCGTGGTTGCCTGCCTTGTACGAAGCCCTTCCTGTCCTAAGAGAGGAGCTCTGTCTTTGATTTGTTGGTGTCTGTCTTCCTTCTTACGTTTCTTTAGGTTGGAAAAGGAGTTGACTGGAGCCCGGTGTACATCATTACGACTGCGGCTGTCGTTGGATGCTGGCTCTGATGACATCGACCGGGAAAGGGACGGCCCTGCCTGGATTAAGAGTCAGGGAGAGGGGCAGCGGGCGGATATTCTAATGAGACAGTTAGTGGGGACACCCACTTAGACAACGTTTGTTCTGTGACAGTCTTCCACCACAAACGTCCTTCCATTTTCAGGGACAAAAAGTGCTCTCCTCTGGCCTTAAATCAGCGTGGGATGCTGCCTCCAACGCTGCGCAGACAGCGCAGATGTCTCCGCTCGGAGGGACCACCCCAACTCCAACTCCGGCTTTCAGCCCTGAAATGCTGACGCATTGCTGGACCCTCAGCTCTGTCACCAAGCCCTGGATGGGCGGCTACAGAAGTCCACAGGTCTCTTCCCGATTATCCAGTCCAGGGACCTCACAATCCAGTCCCCATTTCTGCAAGTCTCTGCCAGAGACACACGACTGGTCTCTCAACACGAAAACGAACGTCACCATGTGTCGCTCTCTCCCTGGAACCCGGTGACGCCCCCATTCAGAATCACTGTCAGAGCCCTCAGGAGGGTCACAGGGCCCTCTGTGGGTGTGTGGGGAGCTTACCCTTCCCACGCACCTCCTCCTGGACCCTGCAAGGCCCTTCCGCTCTGTTCCTTTAGCGTGGAACACTGTCCCTGGGGTGTGGCAGCTCCACACCTCCTCCACATCTTTGCCTGATGCCACCTGCTCGGCCAGGCTTTGTCCGGTCATCCTCCCTGGAACCAGAACCACCTCCCCGACACGCAGAGGCTCCGTTCACTCTCAGTGCCTCCCGCCTTGTCCCCTAGAGCATTTATTTCCCTCACTCCCTGTCACCCCGCCACTAGACGATGAGCTCTTTTAGGAGGAGGCTGTGCTCTGTGCGTGGGAGCATCCCGGCTCGGACGCTGGGCACAGTGGCCCCGACCAACCACAGTCCCCCGGCCAGCAGTGGCCGGCTGGCCCCTCCTGCACAGGGAGTAAGCCTGTCCCTCGGCCACCCTGAGGCCTCTGCAATGGGGACAGCTGCCACCATTCAGTCGGTCCCTTCCCAAAGCTCTCAGGCCGCCGGGCCTCTGGGCACTTAGAGCCAGTTTCCGAGGATGCCCCTGAGCCCCGAGGCTGTGGGCGAACCCAGTAATTGCACGACCTCCTCGGTCATGAAGGGCTCTGGAGTGAATCGAGGCCAAGACGGCTTCTGGAAGTGGATGGGGAGTTAGGTCATGGCCCAGAAGGGGCGGCAGGCGGGTTGCTCGGCAGCCTGCCATGGAGACCTGCACGAGGCAGACCCTCGGGTCCAGGGAGGGAGGCGGCAGCCCCGAGCCCGCACCTGCCCTGCTGCGGCCTCAGCCCCGTCGTCCAGGTCCTGCCCAGTGTCCGGCCCTGCCCCACGCGGGCGTTCGGGGCTCCTGGACGTGAGAGGAAGGCAGGGCCTGGCCGAGCACACGGGTCCCAGCTCCCATCTCTGGGGCGGCCCCGGGGGCAGACCTCGCCACAGGCAGAGCCTGGGCCAGCTCAGAACCAGGCCCCGGCGGTGATGCCCGCCCACTCACCCCACGTTTCTCCCCAGGAAGGACCTGCACCCTCGCGGCTCCCTGGGGACCAGTCCTGAGAGGTCTGGCGGCCTGCTCACTGCTCCTCCTCTCGGAGATCAAGTGTGACCGCAAGCACCCTCGGGCGGCCAGGCATGGGTCTGCCGGCACCCTGAGCGCCACCTCCGTGCCCCCGCCTCTCTTGGGCCCAGGAGGCCACGTTGTGAGACTGCAGCGTCTCTGAGCGAAGCTGTCACCCTCACCAGCAATAGCACGGCTGCCGTTTCTCTGAGTGACCCTGCAGCCACCTTGCTGACCACACTGTCCTCACCACCTTTTATCTTCACAGCCATTCGTGTCCATATGTCACCTCAATTTACAGAGGAAGAAACTGAGTCCCAGAGGGCTCGCGGGTCCAGGGCGCACGGCTAACACACGGCCGGCCTGGGTCGACGGGACCCCGACGTCATAGCCGACAGGCCTGACGCCTATGGTTTTCTGGGCTCTCTCGTCTGGTCCAGCCATGTCCCTTCTTGTCACCTTGGCTCCTGCTTGTTTCCTCGAGGGGCAAAGATGCTGCGGCCTTGGCCCCGGGGAGCCGCCGGACCTTACAGAAGAGGTCAGCGCCCCACAGCCGCGCGCCTGCCAGGGGCACAGCGGTAGCCTGGTGTCCCCCCACGGGTCCTCTAGCTCCGCGAGGGAGCCTGGCCCGAGAACGGTGCTGGCTCAGGACAGCTCGAGAAAGGCTTGCCGAGCCCCCCGCCGCGGGAGACGAACTTCTGGGAAAAGCAGCGCGGGGGCCGGAAGGCTCAGCCCACCCCTCGCGCATCCCGGCGGCGACGGGTTACGTTACCAGTTTGAAGATTCTGGAAAGCGTGCCCTGGGCGTCGTGGACCCCCTTGAGTCCCTTGTGAGTCGATTTGTAGTCGGAAGCTCTAGCTCCGTAGCCAAATCCCGGCTTCTGCCCCTCGGCTCCCTGCAAGAGACCGAGCGCTCAGTCCCGCCCTCGGCGCGGGCTCCGCCTCCTGCCGCCCGCCGCCCCCCGCCCCCCGGCCACGGGCTCCACCGGGCTCCGCGCGCCCCGCTGCCCGGGCGCTGTCACTTTAAAGGCGCAAACCTCCCCTACAGCCGCCGCTTCCCTTCTTCAGGCTGTGGCTTTCAGGAGAAGGTTAGCAAGACGGGCAAGACAGGCATAGGCCCTGCGCCCACGCGGGTCTGCAGGAGGGCTCTGAGGCCGCCCTGAAAAGCGCGCGTGGCCGTTTCCCCAAGAGGGAGGAGCCTGCAGGAGGAGGGAGGAGCCCCGAGGAGGAAGGAGGAGTCTGCAGGAGGAGGGAGGGGCCCGGAGGAGGAAGGAGGAGCCTGCAGGAAGAGGGAGGAGCCCCGAGGAGGAAGGAGGAGCCTGCAGGAAGAGGGAGGAGCCCCGAGGAGGAAGGAGGAGCCTGCAGGAGGAGGGAGGAGCCTGAAGGAGGAGGGAGGAGCCCCGAGGAGGAAGGAGGAGCCTGCAGGAGGAGGGAGGAGCCCCGAGGAGGATGCAGGAGCATGCGGGGGAGGGTGGGCCCGGAGGAGGACGGGGGAGTCCGGAGGAGCCTGCAGGAAGACGGAGGAGCCTGGAGGAGGACGGAGGAGCCCTGAGGAAGAGGGAGGAGCCTGCAGGAGGACACAGCCACCGTCCCGGGGAGTCCCTCGCATCGGCTCTGCTCCCCCAGAGAGCCAGAGGGCCAAGAGCCTTTGGATGCAGTGAAATTGCGTGGCTCAGATCTTTCCAAAGCATAAAGATGAAATTCCACATTTCTGCCCTAGGGGAGCCTCTCCCGACAGCAACAGAAACCAGCTCCCCTGGCCATGGTGTGGGTGTCCTCAGTGCGAACTTGTGGAACTGGGACCAGGGTTTCTCCCAGGGACCCTGGTTCCTGAACTGGTCTCCAAAGAGGGAAGGGGGAAGGTCTGGGCTGGCAAGCCATGTCCCTGCCACTGTGCACGGGTGCAGCACCGCCAGAGCCCAGCAACCTGGACGGGTCTCAGCTCCCACACTCCCTAGCTGTGTGACCTTGGGCAAGTATGGGAACCTCTCTGAGCTTCAGTTTCCTCTTCTATAAAATGGGGGTAATAACGGGCCCTTCCTTGTGGGTTTGTCATGAGGATACCTTGAGTTAACGGAGGCACCCCTCTAAGAACAGAGGTGTGAGCTCTCAACTTGCGAGCTTGCTGTCATCCCAGGAGGTGGCCTGGTGGGCACGATGGGTGGCCCCGACTCCAGCCTCCCACCGCCCCAGCAGCCCTCACTCACTTCAGGGAAGATGAAGAAAGTTTCCTTGGTGGGACGTAGTAATAGCAAATGATTTTTGAAATATAAGAATATTTGTGTCCCTAGGATCAGTTTATTTTCTAAAATGCTTTAGTTTCAAATGGGAACTTTCACTATAAAGATGAGAAAGGAATGGGAGAAACTTTGGGTGTTTAGACACAGGATGAATGTTAACATTTAGGGTCAAGGGTGTTCCAGCCTTAGGGGCGATGTCCGTGGGAGGGCGAACCAGGCTGGCCAGCGTCTCCACATGGGACCTGTTCATCTCCTGGGTCTCTATTTGAAGGATACGTCCACGATTTTGCTTTATATTTGGCCAAGAAGAGATGGGAGACCATCTCTGATGCAGACCCCAGAGCCCCTTCCCTCAGCTTAGAGTCCCTTTAAATTTCATGACAGTGTTTTAGGGTGGAGGGAACTTGGAAAACCATCGAATCTGTCCCTTTATTTTAGAGATTTTGAAGACGGGATCTAGAAGGTTCAAGCTTCTGCAAGTTCACCCCTCTCGGTTTTGGCAGGACTGAGGCTGGACCGGGGCCATCTGTCTAGACACCCCCTCGCATGAGCTACTTCTACAGTTTCCTTCTCCCTCAGCCTGGGCTTGGGAAAGACAAGGGCCACTCGCCTCCAGGAGGCGACTTTCACATGAAGATTTGGTTTCAAGGATTTTCAAGTGGCCTAAAGGATGGGGTGTGTGGAGAGGAGGTCAAAGACGGCAGACGAGAGGAATCCCAGAGGTTTCCACGGACATGCTCACTCCATGAGGGCACACTGAGGGACGGGGACAGTCAAAGAGAACTGCGCCAAGCGACAGACGCACGTGAAATGTGTGACACACCCCTCCCCCTGCAGATGCTGCAAAACCCTGTCTTACTCTGTTGTTTTTCTCCAAAAATAAAGGGATTCTGAGAACTAAATTCAAGGATTGGTTTTCAGATTAGTAATCTGCTTGATTTTTTCCTCTTTTCAAAACCTTGGTCACTTACGTCTCTGGACCACCTAGAATTTACCAGAAAGCACACAAGATAGTTTAGAAAAAAGCAGTGAAGGACTTTCAGAAACTCGGACCGGGAAGACAGTGCTGGAGCTCTAGGAAACAGACGCACATACAAACGGAATCAGAGAGGGGCTTGCTTCGGAGAAAAGAGAAACTTAACAAAGTTAGTAGGGCCAGAGATGGAGAGGTGGGGAGAAGGCAAAGGCCTTTCCCGTTAGCTGCTGGGCGGAAGTGGCCTCTGCGGGACTGGAAGAAAGAAGGTCTCTTTAGCCCTCCCGTCACTCCACCGACAGTGAGGACTTTGCATACTCCCCAGAGCCCACGCCTAGGAAGCTGAGGCAGATCAAATGGTTACTAAGGTAACATTTCTGGGTCTTCAATATCATCTTTGTCTCCTGCTGGCACAGAAAGTCAAAAATTAATTGACTGTGGGTGCTAGGCCATGTAAATTTCCTACATGATCGTCACCTTTTTGCAAATCATCAGGTGAGAAAAAGGCTCACATGTATTTACGTGAAATGTTCCAGCAAACACAGCAGTCCACAGCTCGATGTAATGAGTGTTGGAGCAATTCAGGAGCTTGCTGGAATCTCAGCTCCACCTTTTCTCTGGGGACGTCTTCCCTCCCTCCCTCCTGTCCTTCCTTCCTTCCTGCTGTCTCGCCCTCCCTCTCTGTTTTTTCTTCCTGTTCTTTTTTCTTTCCTTTCTCTTTCCTCCTTACTTTTAAAATTCAGTATTTCATGTATATGATGTTTATTAATGGAACATCAAGTACACATGGGCTTCGCACTAGAGAATAAGGATATTGTGTTCCCAAGACAGACTCAATTAATGGCCTATAGATTTGTGGTTATTCTTCCATTTTATCTTGGTAATTATAACTTTTTTTAAAGTAAGAACCGTATCTAATATTTATTAGTAACTACAGTCTATAAGTTTGGTTAGAATATACTGGTAGGCATTTTAAGTTGGTTCCGACATGAAATTTCTCTAATATCTAGAAAGTGAACAAATTGCTCATTTTTAATCTTCATTGAAACTGTTTTTTCTCAGTATCACAAAGCCGAAAATTCCTAAGCAGGTTTTCCTGAATGGCTTGCTATCTCAGCTTTGGTTATTACTGAAACACGATCAAAACCAAAATCTTTTGGATTAATTAGGTGATTATGAACTGAATAACTGACTTTAGCCTCTTTTTCTCTCATTAGCAGTGTCATTTTTCCTCAACAGAGTTTCAGCGTCTGTGGGGAGAGCTGGTTAATAGACGGGTCAGTTGGCCGCAGATCCACGTTCAGGCTGCTGGGACCTGCTTTTCTCGCCCATTGATTGGAAGGAAATCGGGAATTTTCTCAAACACGGGAGGAGCCCAGTGGAATCTTCCAGGAACCCTCTGGGAGGAGAGGCATTTGGCCTGGCGGTGCCTGCCCAGGGCATGGAAGCCGGGGAGAGAACTACTGTCTGGGGGGGGACGTGGGGGGTCATTTTCCCTTCGGAGGAGAAAGCAGCCCATGGACAGCCACGGGCAAGCTGGGCCTGAGAGGAAAGAGAGGGGGGACCGGCAAGCAACTGAAACAGAGCAGAACATAAGAGTGGAGGGGCTGCGAGGACTAGACAGGAGAGGAAGATGAATGGACACGCATTTGTCACCTACCCAGCTAAATCTGCTGAGAGACAGTCCTCGCCCCTGTGTGAGGAAGAGAAAGAAGCAATGACATGGCGATCCGTGCAGGAAAAAAGTCCTTTTAATAAACAAGAAGCACGATCAAAACAACATGGTGCTGAGATGGCAAATAGGTTTCATCACACAGGCCACATCCAGGGGCTTGGCCGTGCCGCCTGGGGCTCCTTAAGGTGGGGGCGGATTTCAGACCAGGATTCAGAGGGAGAGAGCTGGGGGCCACGGGCACCATCTGCACGGCAGGAGGAGGAAGGAACGCCTTGCATTTCTCAGCCTGTTCAACTCGGGATTCACGTGGCACACATTTTGGGATGAAGTCAGGTAGCTATGAATCCAACCCTCTTGTTGGTACATTTAGGGATTTCAGGAAGGTTCTGAATAGAGTGACAATTGATCAAAACATTCAGAGGTCTTACCTTTCCTTGCGATGGAGGAGGTGTACGAGGCGTCACCTATAAAGACAGAGAACGGTGAGCTGCGGCAGGTTCTCCCTCCGTCGGAGCAGCCCTGACCCCCTTCCTAAGAGTCTCGTGCTATCACCTTGTCAGCTCAGTTCCTGACTAGCTCTGGGTTGCTGAGAGGGCCGAGGATCTATTAAGGATTAGATATTAAGATCTACTATCGATTAGGTCTAGTATCTGCCTGGCTCTCCCACTTCTGTCCTAGTTGAATGAGAAATATAGGCTCTGAGAATTTGAAAATACCCAATGCTACACGGACCTTCCAGAACATTCCGAAAGTGTCTAAGAGAATGGGAAACGCATCAAAAGGCTCTATGACTAGGGAGTTGGTTCTTCTTGGTGTGTGTCACTGTGACACATCCATCGCGTGCTGATGGAGACCGTGAGCTGCTCTTCACCACCCTCCTTTTTCGGGGTTGGAAGTAAAGTGGCCCCTGAATTCCGAGCTTCAGAAGGAACGCCCTCAAGCCTGTGCTCCTAAAACTCATCAGCCTGTAAAACGCCATCTTGAAATGTCTGCAGCGCAGGAAGTTTATAATCAGAAGCCTGTGGTTTTGCTTCTGTTTTTAAGACTATTTTTTAGAGCAGTTTTAGGTTTCCAGAAAAAATGCACAGAAATTACAGAGTTCCTGTGTACCCTCTCTGGTCTTGCACACGGTTCTCCTATTATTGCCACCTGGCATTAGTGTGGTTCATTTGGTACAACTGGTGCACCAATGTTGATGCATTATTGGGAACTGAAGTCCAGAGCTGACGTTAGGGTTCATTCTCTGGGACGTGCATTCTTCGGTTTTCACACACGTATGAGGTGTATCCTGGCTCACAGTCTCATAGGGAGGGTTCCACGGCCCTAAAAACACCCTGTGCTCCCCCTATTTATCCCTCCCTCCTCCCAGCCCTGGCAACCACTGACCTCTTGACGGTCTCCACAGTTCTACAAAGCCTGTGTTTTTAAACTAAGCATCTCGTGGTCGTTTAGTCTCAAAAGCAGGGCGTTCTCTGGGAGAACGGGAAGCTCCGTCAGTGGCACGTGCGGCTCGGGCCTTGGGAGGGGTTGGGGCTGAGCTCCAGGCCAACCTCGCCCTGAGGACAGGGGAGCCTCAACCGGGGACATGCTCATGTCCCTCGTGGATCAGAGCTCAGTGACATCTGGGGACATCCCCACCCTCCTCATGGATGGCGGCAGTGGCCAGGCACCTCCAGCCCACCCCCCCATTGCATTCTCCGTGTGGCCCCTCGCGCACAGCGGGAAGGGAGCACTTACAATGTTCTTGAAGAAGTGCACTACAGGGTTTTCGTCTTGGGGCCGGCCATCTCGCGACTTCTGGGGCAGGGAGCCATAGTGGGTGGTTCTCGCTGCGTGATGTCCGTCCTGAAAGACAGGGATGCGGCGACCTCAGGATGGGTCGGACCCTCCGCTCCACCTTCCTGGGGCAGCTGCCTCTCCTCTCTGTGGATCTCTGTTCTTTCTCAATCAGGACCTGTGCCAGGAAGCCACGGAGGTGCCACAAGACACAAGACACAAGATGGTGGGGCCTCGGCGCAGGATCTCCGCACGGTACTGGGGAGGTTTATCCATCACTGACTCGGGGTCCCTCCCCACCCCCTGAAGTCACATAAGTGTGCCGAGGGGAAGTGAAGGTAATTTAAGTGTAATTCTAGAAGATATGGGCAGGGTGAGCAAAGCATTGAGAGAAGGACACCGTTTCCCCCAAGCCTCTTGTTTGGATAAGGAGAATACTCAGGAATTACAGACAAAACAAGCGTAATCACAAAAGTCAAGCCCATTCATTGGCTTTGCAGTGGTGGCATAACGTGAACTGGCCTCAGTTTCTCTAAATGAATGTCTCAGGTCACAGTGGCACTGGAGTCCGGCCAGTTTGGGACAGACTTCCACATCTCGAGGAAAGAAGTCAGGACTGTTGGGCCGGTTCGTAGTCAGCAGAACCAGGACTTCCTAGGTCAGTAAGGGTTGCCTAGAAGACACCAGATGGCAAGCCCTGATGGAGAGCAAGGGGTAGCAGCCCCCACCTGTGCCTCCTTGGCTGAGCATGGCCCTGGAGATGCCTACCAGCAGGAGACGCAGAGTGTGCAAGGCTCGAGGACCACACCAGGAGGGCACATCCACGTTTCTGTGGAGAAGGGATCCTTCTGCAGGAGCGCTTGACGAGGGCCTTCAGGCAAGAGAGCCCTCAGAAGAGCAGAGGGAAGCCCCTGGGAGGAGCTGGCTTGGGGAGCTGGCTTTGTAGCCCTCCCTGTGCTCCCTCCCTGCTGTTCCCACCACCCATGAACGTGGCGAAGGACCTGAGCGAGCTAAAGCAGGAAAGCTTTTAGGTCAGAGGAGCACCTCTGGGACTGGTCTGGCATTGCAGCGCGAAGGGAGTTTTGTTAAAAGAAACCACATAGGGGCCGGCTTCGTGGCCGAGTGGGCGGCCCAGGGTTCGGATCCTGGGCGCGGACATGGCACTGCTCCTCAGCCCACATTGAGGCAGCATCCCACATCCCACAACTAGAAGGACCTGTAACTAAAAATATACAACTATGGCGGGGGGGGGGGGTTGGGGGGGTATGGGAAGATAAAGCAGAAAAGAAAAAAAGAAAAAGATTGGCAACAGTTGTTAGCTCAGGTGCCACATAAGCGTGCTGACGTCGCGGAAGCACCTCCCTCCAGCGTCAGCTTTGGGCGCGTTGTCTCAGGGACCCCTTCCTGTTCGGAGGACACTTTTGCCACCAAGAAGTCTAAAGCATGCTTCTCAGGAATTTAAAGTACTTAATGGGCTTAATTTAGGGGGTGACGGGGTTATTGTGAATTTTATGACTGTCCCGCTGTCTGTCCTCCTCCCTCAAACCCGCAGGCCTGAAACCCCCAGTCCCCTTGACTCTTTCCTCTGCTTCACCTCCCCTGTCTGCTCAGCTCACAAGCTTGTAGGTTTTCTGTAAAGTGTTCCTTGCCTTCCTTCCCCTCCCCCACCGTGGACATTAAAACAGAAGCTGGGTTAGCTCCCTCCCGGATTCTTCCCTTTCCAGCCCAGACATCCTCTCCTCCTTCTCCAACCTTCTCCAACCTTCTCCAACAACCTCCCCCTGTTTCTGCTTCATCAAACGTGTCTTCTCTCAGGCCTGGAGGAGCCAAGAGCCACACTTCCTGAGCGTCCAGCTTTTCTCTACTTCCTGAGACCTGGTGTCTGCCCTGAGTGGACCGGCCACCTCTTTGTCCTTTGAACAAGGTACATTGCACACTGCTGGCTCCTGCTTCCCTGTGACTAATCCTAACCCTAACCCTGACCCAAGTCCAAGGTCCTTCCTTCTCTGGGCTTAACTAGAGATGAGGCTTCCTGACTGGTTTCCCCGTGGTCCTCCCTGCCCCTCCCCCCGGTCCTCCATGCTGCGGTCAGAGGAAGGCTTCTGAATCCTGGATGGGCCCATCCTTTGCTAATTGCTGTCCAGGGCCTCCCAGTGCAGGCCCATGGAGAGCACTTCTGAACAGGCGCCTCTATCTGGAGCCTGACCCCTCCACCGTGCTTGGTACCCAGACTCCCAATGGTTTTGCTGCCCCGGGCCTTTGTATGAAGGTTTCCTGCAATGCCCTCTTTCGCCCTCTGTCTTAGTTACTCTTCCAGGCGCCCCCTGTGCAGAGCTTTCTCCAGCGGGCCTGGGCGGGATCTGGACGGGGCTGTTTCCTGTCCGGCTCATTCAGAAGCTCCCTCACAGTGTGGAGCAGCAACGGCGGACTCCACGCTGTGCAGCCCTCTCCTCCGCTGCGCCTGCGCCGGGAGCATCTCAGCTTCTAATTTCCAGCACCCAGAGGAGGCTGCACACGGGGAGGGAGTTACGCCAGGGGCATGAGAGCGGGCGCAGAGGCAGATGCTCTGGGCGTTTGCCCTGGAAGATGTCAGCAGCAGGGGAAAGAGCTAGAGGGTTTCAGTGACTGTGGAAACCCCTGGCCTTTATCCTACCTTGTTTGCTGATGTTGCAGGAACCTAAATAATCTGGTTCTCCCCCTGTTGTCTTGTCTATCCCCGATGCCGTGTGAATTCACTGACCAATCAGATTCAGTGACCGAGAGCCAAACACATATGTTCTTCTTCTCCAATGAAAGAGTGAGTGTAAAACCAAGAATAAAAAACCAAAACAGACGAGCCGGGAAACTGTTCAAATTACTTACTTTAAGACAAATATCTTTGTGTCTAACATGTCTGCTGGGTGAAGTTAACTGTAAGATGCCATCCTAATGGCCTGAAATAATTAAAACAGCTCAAAATTCAGTACAACTTCTTCGTGCCTTGGTGTTTTCACACCATTTTTCTGCTTGCTGTCGTTGGATTCTGAGTCAGAGAAACATCATGCACCTTTAGTTCACCCATCCTGTGCTTAAACTAGAAAAATATCTTAAACTTCGCACAGAGGTTTTTAAAGAAATGAATGTCCAGTCATATCATGCAGCTCTCCTGTTGTTAAAACTTGTTTGTGTTGTGAGATAGTTGATGAAGTATTATGTAGATAATGTTTCACGTGAATTATGCATTCCTGCTTTAAATGCTAAAAGGCAAATTATGTATTTTTGTGATGTTTGTAATGAATATATTGGTCACCAGTCTTTTGAGGGAAAAGTAATTTACATCTTTGAAGGAACACTAAGCTGGTATGTTGCATTTGAGCTCGTGGTGCTGTGAAAGCAGGTGTCAGAACTGTTCACGAACAAGGCAGCGGGTACATTGTGGCCCTCAGCGCAGAGCCAGGCACGCGATAAGCAGTAACTGTTGCTGAATTGACACAGAGACTGTTCAGATCGCTTTTAAGACAGAGCCTAACACACAGAATAGATCTTAAGTACATAGAGTGATTACCACGGAGTCACACAATTCTTTGTTATATGTGCCTCAGAAAGAGACCGAACCAGGACTTGCACTAGAAAGTTTGGGCTCTAAATTGTCGGTTGCACAGATAATTTCATGTGGTCACAGAGTTATAACCATATTGTTATATTGTAGTTGTCGTGGTCTGTTACTAAAAGGGCATTGAGTCAATCATATGTCTATATATAGCAATGAACAGTTAAAAAAACCCCATTTTAAAGACACCACCATATATAACAGCATCAAAGGAACAAAATATTAGGTATAAATCTAATAAAACATGTTTAGGATCATTATGCTAAAAACTAGAAATGGCTGGTTTAAGGAGACTTAAATCATTGAAGAGAATCTGTTCATGGATGGAAGACTCGACATAGCCAAGATGTCAATTGCTCCCAAACTCATCTACAGATTTAGTGCACTTCTGATCAAAACCCCAGCAGGGTTTTGTTCAGATATAGACAAACTGATTCTAAAACTATATGGAAATGCAAAAGAACCAAAATAGCCAAAAACTGTGGAAAAGAAGAATAAAGTTAGAGAAGTCACATCACTTGATTTTAAGGTTCCTATATAACTATAGTAATCCAGGCAGTGTGGTGTTAGAGGAGAGACAGACGCACAGATTGATGGAACACTGTAGAGTCCAGAAATAGACCCACGCAGATAGGATCAGTTGATTTCTTTGTGTGTGAGGAAGATTGGCCCTGAGCTAACATCTGTGCCACTCTTCCTCTATTTTGTATGTGGGATGCCACCACAGTGTGGCTTGATGAGCAGTGTGTAGGTCCACAGCTGGGATCCAAACCTGCGAACCCTGGGCCGCCGAAGCAGAGCACACAAACTTAATCACTACACCACTGGGCCAGCCCCAGGATCAACTGATTTTTGACAAAGCTGCAAAGACAATTCAGTGGAGAAAGGATTGTCTTTTCAACAAATGATATTAGAACTACCGGGCATCCATATCCAAAAAAATGAATCTCAACCCAAAGTCACACCTTATACAAAACTTAACTCAAAATGGATCATAGATCTCTATCTACAATGTAAAACTATGAAATTTTAGAAGAAAACATATCAGAAAGTCTTTGTGACTTGGCAGTAGGCAACAAGTTCACAGACCTGACACCAAAAGTATGATCATAAAAGAAAAAATTGATAAATTGGACTTGATGAATATTGAAGACTTTTGTTTTGCAAAAGACGCTGTTAAGAGAATTGAAAGATAAGTGAGACAGAAAAATATTTGCAAATCACATATGTGATAAAGGTCTTGAAACCAGAATATGTAAGAACTCTCAAAACTCAATGGTAAAGAAACAAACAACCTGGTTAAAAAATGGACAAAACACTGAATAAACACTTCATCCAAGAGGAAGAGCAGAAGGCCAGTAACCACATGGAAAGATGCTGAGCATCATTAGCCATTAAGAAGATGCAAGTCAAAACCACGAGGAGATACCACCACACACCTGTCAGAATGGCTAAAACAAAAAGTACTGACAATACTAAG